TATCCGAGTGTATAAGTGTATTCAACAACATGAAAGTATCAAACCCATCATCATCTATACTTCTATAGTGTATAAACAAATTACGGAGTATTATCAAAGTCTTGTAAATTGTAATTGGTAGCGTCAATTCATCATATCACCCAATGGAAATAATTAACACTCCATCTGTTCTGCCGATATTGGTTTATATTTCCTTTTCAGAAAATCTCACTAAAATGGTCTCATATCAAATTTGGTAGAGTTTGTGTGACTCTAAATTATTCTTATTTTATCAATTAATATTAACTACATAAATTCACTTTTCTTAATAATTTTGTCACTCCCTTCTGTTCCAATATTAGGGGAACGGAGGTAATATATAACAATGAATAGAATTGTTAAAAATATGTTGATTAATTACTGATGTTCTTGAGTTTTAGTTATTTCATTTTAACAAAAATAGAAAATGAGATAATGCACATGGTTAATGCATGTGCAAGATAACGAGGAACAAATAACAATAATTAATATGACCAAAGTTAAATGATACTCCGTAGTTAGTTGTATTTTTATCCAAAATGCAAGGGAATTCTGGATGCATCACCAGGCATTCACCCCTCCATCTACCAAACATAATGCTAGTAAGCTAGTTCCACTCCTACACTTGATGCTGGCCATGGAGCTAAACTCATATTTCCACTAATCCGTAAACTAAGTTAAACAATCAAAATCAGTAGCTTGTGATATTTTTTTAATTCAAATAAATCTTACTAGACACTTTTTTGAATGTTAAGTTCAATTGTAGTAACTAAATTATTAAAGGCTTTTACAGCACACAATTGTGGATTCGCTCAATTTCAAATTTCTACCTCCTTTTTCTACTTGATCACATTTTCTTCTACTTGATTTTCACTAATCTTATTAAATTACTTGAATTTTTTTTGGTTTATCTCCACTTTGTTGGATATACATGAATGGGTTCCCCTCTTGTATTAAGGATGACCCCCAAGTACTTTTTTTTGGACACACAAGTGTGCCAAATACTTTTAAATTCTCATTTTTGAAAAATAGAATCACTTATAAAAATTTCAACATAATTATTACAATAAGATAAAAATATCTCAAACTCTAGCTCGTTCTCACACACAAGTGGCCATCTTTACCTTCTTATACACCGATTTACACTCATAGAAAGTATTAAACAATGTGGATTCGCTCAAATTTGTCCCTCTTAGATTGATTAAAAGGGTTGGTTTGAATTTTATAATGTGAGACAAATTTAATGAACAAAGAAAAAACAAAATGACATAATCAGAAATGTTTTGGTGTATTTAATAAATAATGAAAAATTCTTTAGGTACACTGGTTACATCCAGGGTACACCCTATATAACCTCCCATTTTTTTACTTCACTCCCTCTCAACTTTTTTCTGCCTCCCTCCCTCCTCACATTTTCTCTCTCCCTCCTCCCCTCTTGATTCATATGCATCCCCCCTATGTTGATTCATATGCACCCCCCCTGTCTCTTCTTCATCTTCTTCTTCCTATTCCTTTTCTCTTTTTTATTTCTTTTTACGTTTTATTCACCTTCATCATCTTCATCATCATCTTCCATCACCATTTTTACCGGAAAATTTGCCGGACCGGAGTATAAGAGGCGCCTGAATTTTTGTTTGTATGGTGCTAAATATTGTTTGGAATGAAAGTTGAAACGGAAAAATTAATAACATTCTATGAACTTTCTCCATAGAAAAAAAAATGTATGTACACCGACACTGGTTTGCTTTTAGTGTCTGTGTACACAGACAAAAAATGTTAAAAAGTCAGGGTTAGATTGCATTGAAACAAATGTTTGTGTACACAGACGAAAATTGTATATGTATGAACACTTTTTTTGTACACAGACAACTAATGTCTACGTACACCGACATTGGTTTTCGTGCAACTACCGTGATAGATATGCAAAAAGGCACATCAATCAAAAGGCATTCACCCCTCCATCTACCAAACATAATGCTAGTAAGCTAGTTCCACTCCTACACTTGATGCTGGCCATGGAGCTAAACTCATATTTCCACTAATCCGTAAACTAAGTTAAACAATCAAAATCAGTAGCTTGTGATATTTTTTTAATTCAAATAAATCTTACTAGACACTTTTTTGAATGTTAAGTTCAATTGTAGTAACTAAATTATTAAAGGCTTTTACAGCACACAATTGTGGATTCGCTCAGTTTCAAATTTCTACCTCCTTTTTCTACTTGATCACATTTTCTTCTACTTGATTTTCACTAAACTTATTAAATTACTTGAATTTTTTTTGGTTTATCTCCACTTTGTTGGATATACATGAATGGGTTCCCCTCTTGTATTAAGGATGACCCCCAAGTACTTTTTTTGGACACACAAGTGTGCCAAATACTTTTAAATTCTCATTTTTGAAAAATAGAATCACTTATAAAAATTTCAACATAATTATTACAATAAGATAAAAATATCTCAAACTCTAGCTCGTTCTCACACACAAGTGGCCATCTTTACCTTCTTATACACCGATTTACACTCATAGAAAGTATTAAACAATGTATTTTATACACTACCTTTGTCCCTCTTAGATTGATTAAAAGGGTTGGTTTGAATTTTATAATGTGAGACAAATTTAATGAACAAAGAAAAAACAAAATGACATAATCAGAAATGTTTTGGTGTATTTAATAGATAATGAAAAATTCTTTAAGTACACTGGTTACATCCAGGGTACACCTTATATAACCTCCCATTTTTTTACTTCACTCCCTCTCAACTTTTTTCTGTCTCCCTCCCTCCTCACTTTCTCTCTCTCCCTCCTCCCCTCTTGATTCATATGCATCCCCCCTATGTTGATTCATATGCACCCCCCCCCTCTCTTCTTCATCTTCTTCTTCCTATTCCTTTTCTCTTTTTATTTCTTTTTACGTTTTATTCACCTTCATCATCTTCATCATCATCTTCCATCACCATTTTTACCGGAAAATTTGCCGGAAACTTGCCGGAGTATAAGAGGCGCCTGAATTTTTGTTTGTATGGTGCTAAATATTGTTTGGAATGAAAGTTGAAACGGAAAAATTAATAACATTCTATGAACTTTCTCCATAGAAAAAAATGTATGTACACCGACACTGGTTTGCTTTTAGTGTCTGTGTACACAGACAAAAAATGTTAAAAAGTCAGGGTTAGATTGCATTGAAACAAATGTTTGTGTACACAGACGAAAATTGTATATGTATGAACACTTTTTTTGTACACAGACAACTAATGTCTACGTACACCGACATTGGTTTTCGTGCAACTACCGTGATAGATATGCAAAAAGGCACATCAATCAACAAAGAATTTTTTCACACCGACACTTTTTGGTCTACACAGACAACTAATGTCTGTGTACACCAACATTGGTTTTCGTGCAACCACCTTGACAGATCTGTGAAAAGCTAAAAAATCATTTTTTTTCACATCGACTGTTTTTTTTATCGAAAGTGTCTATATTTGTATTCTTTTTTCCTGTGCGAATAACAAATAAAGAGGGTGTAACCCACGGTGTACAAATTGTTGATAAACAATAGATACACTAAAAATCCACTTTCTTGACAAATGTGATTTAAGCCTTATCTAGGAATTGAACTAAAACGTGCTTACTTTGGAAAATGACGTCTTCTCTCTAGGGTTGCCGCAAGGTCAACCGCTAGCTTTGATCGTCCACTATCGGCTTAAGCCGAGGAGTGGGGCTAGTTTTTTCCGACCATCTGTTTATTTTCAGTGAAGAGGAATCGAAAGGAGGGGCGATTAAGGAGGCTGATGAAGGCTTTTTGGTTCGGGCCGGCAGTTCGTGGTGTCTTTGACGGGCGAATCGTGGAGATGAAGTAGCGAGCGGAGGAGAGATTTCCAGCAGAAAGGCTAATGGCATGGATCAGGAGAGACTCTTCGGAGAAGCTTCGGTCCATGCTCCTCGTAAACTGCCACCACGATTGAGGGAGTCACAAAGGCAATTTGAAGATAAGGAAGAGACAATGTTCTTTGGCCAAGAGATGGAGGCGACTCAAGGGAAGATCAAGTCGATGAAGGGATGATGATCCGACAACTTCTTGAACCGCCGCCGGTGGTTCTTGGAAGACTCATCATCATCATCACCTCAGTGCCGCAAAGGCTCCCCCTGTATTAAAGCACCACGAGACTGTTTCCAGATGACCCATATTGAAAATCGCGTCCAAAATTGCATATACTGACTGTTGTTTCATAACAAAGAAGCGCAGACAATTTAATGAGCCATTTTGCTTTATTTCATCATATTCTCAAGCTGAAAAATAGTGAATCTTTGACTTCATTACAAATGATGAAAATGGTTCTTGGAAGACTGAGCGAAGATTTTTTTTTTGCTTTTATTTATTTTAATGGTCCGATTTTGTCTGTGTTTGTTTGTTGTTTTATCTCTTTCGATTGTAAGACTGTGGTTTTGGATTTAAGTGATGGAATGACTGTATTAACCGTCTTTGGCTCATTTGTGTCCATTAATGGATCAGCGAGTTATATTGCTAAGACGATAAACTCCGAATCTGGTCTGAGGGACGACGGTTGTCAGGAATTGTTTTAAGCCGATTTCTTCCAAAAAATAAATAAATAAATAAAGAATTAACTAAAACGATGACATTTTTGTGGTGAGGACTGAGGGCACTGAGACTGCCGCTTCTTCTACGAGTAAGGTTTGGTTTGCAACTACTTTTAAAAAAGCACTTCTCAGCCTTTGGTTTTAAAAAGTACTTATTTTCTCAAACACTGCAACTTTTATTTTTCTCGACTTCCGCGTCAAAAGTGTTTTTACTTTTTCTATTACACAAAAAGCACTTATTTTACCAAACACTACCCACTTTTACTTTTCAAAATCACTTTTTTCTCAAATATTATCAATTTTTATTTAATCACTTCTACCCATTTCATTTAAAAAAACACTTTTTAAAAAAGAGTACCTAACTGCGTAACTCTTTCAGCTGAATTTCACGTCAAAATCATTCTATCCACAACCATGGCTGCTTTCCTAGAAATCCGGCCGAGCTTTCTCATCATCATGCTGCTCTTTGCCGTCGGCGCTTCCGTGTGGTCGTCGGAGCCCACTGTCTACGATATTTTGACCAAGTACAGCCTACCGATTGGCCTCTTGCCGGACTCCGTAACTTCCTACACGCTCTCCGACGACGGCTCCTTCGAGGTATCCCTCAAAAAGCCCTGCTACGTGCAGTTTGATTACTTGGTGTACTACGAGAAGACAATTACTGGGAAATTGAGTGTCGGATCGATCTCCGACTTGAAGGGGATTCAAGTAAAAAAACTGTTCTGGTTCAATGTGGACGCGATTAAAGTTGACCTGCCCCCGTCCGGTAGTATATATTTTCAGGTTGGAATTATTAACAAGGAACTCGATGCGGGGCAGTTCGAGATCGTCCACACTTGCCAGGACAAAGCCTTGGCCGCCTGTGCAGCGTCTCCCAGGAAAATTGTTCAGGTAATTGTGCTCTCTCTAATCCGTCTTCTTCGAACTGATTTTTTTTATTTTTGCTTATTATCGATGTATCTTAGGCATATTATTATATTATAATGATCATTTGCTATTTCAATTTTGGTAATCTTCATAGCCATCATATATGAGTAAAACGTTGGCAAGTTCAGGATAGATAAAGTCCACACCTCGTATAGGTATTGAAGGAGTAATTTAAGAGCATATATGTTTACAATGTATACAGGAGAAAACGGGAGTGTAACATGACACATTTATTCAAATAGGAGTGTGGTTGTTTCTTCCCACCAAAATAGCACTCATTCGCTCTTATGTTAGGAAGTCTATTGTTTTATTCATTTAATAGGACTAAATAAATCAAGTTTTAGGAATAAAACATACGTAATCCTATTTAGAATTTTGTTCACGTTTTACTCCTGTTTTGAGCGATATCTTAATGAATAATAGTCCTAAAAAATACGGAGTAGCAGTCCTGCAAGCTACATCTGCCAACTACCTGAACTTGTTATATCTTAGTGATATCGGTCAATCACCCCAAGATACTAGGCGTGGTTCAGTACAATCCTAAAGGAAAGAAGACTTGGTAATTGGATCCAAATAACAATTTAAGGAACAATTTGTTATCAGGAATAATAATCTTTGTAATATCTATTACCTTAATTACATACTTGAAGTCTTGAACAAGACTATAAATTGGAGTAGCTTTAAGAGAGTAGGCATAATATTTTTACTATATTCAGCATCTCTGAGGGAAAGTTGATCTTACTGGATAGTTCCTTCTAAAGGTTTCTTACATTTGCTCTTTTAAGATTAAAGGAATAAGTTTGGAATATAACTTTAGAACATGTTTCAAGGATTGGTATTATACACTGGCGACCTGTCTGTGTGAAGACCTAACCTATCTGCCATATCTGTCCCAGTTTGGCTTCACTGGGATGAGATGTAGAAAGAAGTAGAGGCAGAGGTGTGGCTATAAAACCAACAATGATGAGCTATTATTAGACATGTAGACTCATCTAGCCAACTTCCAGTCAAATAATCAATAACAGATTATTCTGCTTCGAACTGACTGTCCATGGATGTCTAAATTATTGGATGAATTCCGCTGTAAAGCAGAAGAGGGCACTCTGGTGCATTTTGGAGTTAGAAGAGTATCGCAGCAAGTGTGCACTGGAATGGCATAATAAAGCGGGTCCAATTGCTTAATGTGCAATAAGAATAAGTATGATACTCTAGCAATTCCAGGTCTCCTACAACCCTTACACATTCTTTGTGGAAGCAATCAGAAATGAATGAGGATCCAATCAACAATAAAAGGAATAGCTTGTTATCAGGAGTAATTGATTTCACTAATCATCTTTTTACCTCAATCACATACTTTTACTAGGCTATAAATTCAAATGTCTTTAATACAATATGCATTAATATGTTTTTACTTTTTACAATATCCAGTGTCGCTGAGAGCAAGTTAGTCCTGCTGATGAGTTCTGAAGGCCTCTTGTATTTTCCTTTCTATTGATAAAAATATCAGTCTTCGGATTTTATCCTCCATAACACACACTCACACCATATTTATCACTAGTGTCTGCATAGACCGTTCATTCCAGAGATACAATTTTGGCTATATGTTTAAAAAAATAGGTTGAGTTGTATACTGTACATATAACAATGATGTCATAAGAAGGGTCATTATGAGCTAGGGAATTGTAGAGGAAATGACATAAAAATGAATGATGTGGAGAAATATAGTTAAATAGCCAATCCCACCTGTGGGGAGAGGGCTGGTTTGGTTAAGAAAGAAAAGCTCAAAACAGAATATATGCTCTTTTTTTTCTCTGTGTCTTTGTTAGGATAACTATTGAAATATTTCTGGCACTATAAAGAATGGAAAATAACCAAATTTATGTCCATCTTTGTCTCTCCACTCCAATTCCATGTTCTTATCAATGATCTTTTCCCTGGGCTAACCTTTCCGTGTCATGGACATTTCAGCCAACAGTGGTGGATGATTTGCGAATGCTCCTTACAGAGTGAAGAATCAAATTGATGGTTTGCAGCTAAAGATTGTCGGAAGAGGTGTGATATTGCAGCTAAGACTAGAAGTACAACTTCAGTGCTGAGCACCGTGTCGATATACAAGTTGGGCTTTTTGCCTTTTTGTATCAGTGCTGAGCACCGATCTATGTTACCATTGTATGATGGAGTTGTAATGTTTGTTATAACGTTATATGTTTAGTCGTACTTGCATAGTGTTCCTATTATGTTGATCAATGTTTAGCTGTAATATGTTTAATATGTTATGCTGATTATTTTGATGCGTAAAGAGTGAACATCATAAAAATATCCAGTTCTAATTAATTGTGTTTTGTTTCAACCTTTATTTAGATGTGAACTAAAATTTGAGAATATAGTTCATTCTCATTTCCCCTGATTTTGAGGGTTCTGGAAGTGGAGCGAATTGAGATGATTGATAACTTTGGTTTTAAGTTTTTAAGACATCAATGGCCCTTTATTAACTGAGTTAATTTCCAGTTTTCTTTATTGTATTCTCTTCACCAATTTTCTGTTTTAATTTTTCAGTTTTTTTATCTCCTACTTTTTGCTTTCATTTTTTAGTTTTCCATTTTCAAATATGAATACATGCTCATAATTTTTCACCCGATTATGTGATCGGCTGGAAGACCGAAAGTACGGCTCCGATTCGAAACCAAACCTAGTACAAACCAAGTATGGTACCTGAGCCCGGGTATAGGAAAGTTGGGACTGAAATCGGTAGGTTCTAACAGTTAGTTTGACTAATTCTTTTTCATTTTCTATTAGTTGGAACCTCAATGACTCTTTTGAAACTCTTCATTTTGAATAAAGGGAGAACTACCAAATAAGCCATCGAACTTACATAAAACGTGCAAATCACCCCTTATATAGGAGTCTATGTCCGGCCGTCGCCATTTGGGGCGGTTCCTGGTGGAATTTTTGATGAAATTTTTTGAACATCTTATTCATTAAGTCTAGTTCACTCATACCAAATTTCAGCTAAAAATTCAATCGGGAAGGGAGTCAAATGAATTTTTGAAGATAACTGCGCAGTTAAACAGTGCAATATATTTCAGAAAATCATTTGACTGCCTTCCCAGTTAAATATTTAGCTGAAATTTGGTGTGAGTAAACTAGACTTAATGAGTAAGATGCTCAAAAAATCTCATCAAAAAATTCCACCGGGAACGTCCCAAATGGCGACGGCCGGACAGAGCCTCCTATATAAGGGGTGATTTGCACTTTTTATGTAAGTTTGAGGGCTTATTTGGTAGTTCTCCCTTGAATAAATGATTTAAAAAAACAAGGGCCGAATCACCGGGTCATCTACCGGACCGGACAACGGCTGTTGGATCATTGATCGGAATGGTCCAGGATTGCCCGGACGTCGATCAGACTAGGCAGGGACCGTCAGATCTTAGACCGGACCAGACAGGGATCGTTAGGTCTTTGACCGAACCGGATAGGGGCCGCCGGGTCGTTGACCGGACGGAACAGGGACCGTCGGGTAGTTGAATGAACCAAGAATGCCCGTCGTGGACCGGACAGGTACTGATGTACCGTCGGGTCATGGACCGGACCGGACAGGGACCGCTGGGTTGTCCACCGGACCGGAAAGAAATCGTCGAGTCATCGACCAGGCCAGACAGGGACTGCTGGATCGTTGACTGGACCAGACAAGGACTTCGGGTCGTTGACCGGACTGGACAGGGATCATTGGGTCATTGACCGGACTGGACCGCCTGGTCATCGACCAAACCGGACAGGAACCACCGGGTCTTGACCAAACCAGACCGGAACTCAGAGATTGGAGCAGGACCGAGTCCACCACTAGGCGTAAGTATGCAAAATCATTGCAACAACACTGCAACATCCACTTATTTCAAATTTGGAAAACCAGTAAAACTCACTTCTCTAATTTATTAAGGAAAACAGAGACATGTCTCATTTTTTGTTTTCGAAAATGATTTGGTAAACGCATTTTCCCGTTCTCCTTTCTCCAGTATTCTAGCAATTTTTTTTATAAACACGTTTTCTGTTTTCCTTTTTCCAGTTAGGAAAATATCTCTGTTAGTGAACAAGCAAGCCTAAAATATCTCTCAAGTCTCAATTGGAGTAGAGGAAATTAATTATTTAGGGAAAATTTCCAAAATAAGTAAAAGTGTCTTTTTTTTTATCTTTAAACGAGCCTCTATTCAAAATAAGTAAAAGTGTCTTGAAATTTCAAAATTAAATATGACTCATATTTATTTAGGGAAAATTTCCAAAATAAGTAAAAGTGTCTTGAAATTTCAAAATTAAATATGACTCATATTTATGTTTTGTAAATTAGAGTAATTATTGTCAAACTTGAAAAATTTTGTCATTTTTAAAGTTTAATATTGCCAAAACATAATATTTACTCTCACTAGAGGATAAAAATGTGGCTCTATTTTGAAATTTACAAACATTTTTACTGCTATTTAACATAAATTTTTAATTATTTACGTTGGTTTACTGAGATTCATTCTAATTATAGTAGAATGAGAATATATACTAGATGAAAGTAGAGTAATTGTTAAACACATTGTAATTCTAGGGGTAGAGATTGTATAGTGTAAAACTCCTTTCCTCCACAGACACATTGTTCTCCTCGTTTAGTCCTCTATGATGTCAAGAGGTAATGATCTAACTAGTTTGTGTTCTTTTCATCATGCTATCCTCTCTTCCATTTGCCAATTTGTCAACAATAGCTCTTTGTCCAATTTAATTAGCAATGTTGCTTTTAGATAAAGGTCACAACCGACCTCTAAATATTTTTAGGGCTAAAGTATACTCCCTACATGAAACACACACCTCTAACTCTCTTCTAGAATACGATCTTATTGGTGATATTGATGGCACTGACTCTATTGTAAATGAATGGTTCATGCTGGCAAATTACCTCCGTGTTATGTTATGTAATTTAGCTAAATGGACTTAGTTGAATGCGCTAAGTTCATTTAGCTAGTGAAATGCTTGGGACATGGGAGTATATGACAATTAGTTATGTTATTCTTAGAATCTAAGAGCCCGTTTGGAGACCCTTTTTTTCGGCTTATCAGGCTTATCAGTCAGCTTTTTCACCAAATACGTAATTTTTACTTTCGCGTGCTGAATTGGGTAATAAGCAGAAAAAGTAAGGTTGGAGTTACTTTTCTGGCTGTATTGGCTGATGTTACTGTAGATGACCATTTTAGCTATTTTTACATGTAATTTTTTCTTTATTTTATTAATAAAATATATTTTTAAACTATTTTTTTCTGGAATCAGCAGAATCAGCCAAAACAGCCACTTCAGCCAGAACTTCATAAATTTCAGCAGAAACAGCCAAAACAGTCGATTTTTGTGCTACCAAACGGGCTCTAAAAGGTATTCGTTCCGTCACTTTGTATCCTTAGGGGATGTATTATACATTTATACTCCCTCCGTCCCACTAAAATGAGACATGAGGGGGTGGCACACATACAAATAAATGTGAGTGTATGTGATCAATATTAAATCTATCTATATATAATAAGAAAAGGTTTCTTGCATTGCAAGATCCCGCCAAATCTTCTTACGTGCAGCTGCAATTTACTAAATACTTTATATATCTACATTAACTCGGCTAAATGAATGTCATGTGGTGGTTTGGAGAAAAAAACATTTAATGGAAATCTTAGGAAAGAGTGAGCCCTACCTTTCAGCTTCTCAATGCATGTCATTTCAGATTTTTGTGCCATCTTAATTAATTATGTTGTACATCTTTCGCAAGGGAAAAGTCAAAAATATTTGTAAGCAATATAATATACGTAGGTTAGCATGCATGTCCTTTTCTTTAAGGGTTTAAGGCATAAATTTGGTTAATATTTTAAGATATACGATATTAGTAAAGGAATACAACAAGGAAAAATTTAAAAGCTTAACAAGCTAGGGAAAAAAGTAAAGATTTAAAATTTATTTAAAGAACACTGACAAGAGGTTAAAACCCATTATCATAAATATTCTTTTAATGCACCGATTAATATTATGAATGACATAAGATAAAATATTTCAACATTTTAGACAAAACCGAGAGTTTGTTGACATGGAAAGTGCAGTTTGAAAATGTTCACTTTCGAATAGATCAAATATATTCTGAGGTTACATACTTTAAAAAAACATATTATTCCTATTTTAGATCATGCCTAAGAATATTATTACAGTCAATTATATCATATTATAATTTCTGCTATTCGGGGATCCATACTTCAATGACATAAATCGTCACTCATTTTGAGAATGAATGTTAGGTTTCCTCTTATATCAAATGATCCTACATATTTTTATACTTTTATTCTTTCTTATACGGAGTACTTAACTTTATAATTAACTTTGTTGTTTCAATTTTGCTAACTTGGGATGTTTTCTTTTGGATTGAAATTTGCTGGTCTGGTCTGGTCTGGTCTGGTCTGTTTAAGTCTGGTCTGGTCTGGTCTGAACTGGTCTGGTCTGGTAAACGTCTGGTCTCTATGTATTTTATAACTATTCAAGTCTGGTCTGGTCTGGTCTGTTTAAGTCTGGTCTGGTCAGGTCTGGTCAGGTCTGTTTGAGTCTGGTCTGGTCTGATCTGGTCTGGGACTGAAAACAGTCCAAAAGAAAACATCTTTGCTCACATTAAATGGGGTAGTAATTCCAAAATTTTATCACGTTTTCTAATTTTAAGTTCCCGAATTATTTGCAAAAAAAGTGCTCCAACTAATTTCAGAATTAGTTATAATCTTAAAATTTCAGCTACAATTATATCTCTATGCATTGCACAATGATCAGATAATTTTTGTTGTATTTATGTATTAGTGTGTATAATGGCATACAATATTTCTTATAGGTAGATCTTAATTAAAAGCTGAATTTATTTAAAATAATATTGATTGAAAACGTTCAACTACTTGCTCTATAATGTTTAATGCAAAATATTGTGATTTCAAGTTGTCTTATATTTCATTTTTACTTACCTATTACTCTTTAATTTGTAATATAATACGTGGATTAAATATTTTGGTTGTGCATCGCACGGGTGAAATGCTAAGTGGACTTAGTTGAATGCGCTAAGTTCATTTAGCTAGTGAAATGCTTGGGACATGGGAGTATATGACAATTAGTTATGTTATTCTTAGAATCTAAAAGGTATTCGTTCCGTCACTTTGTATCCTTAGGGGATGTATTATACATTTATACTCCCTCCGTCCCACTAAAATGAGACATGAGGGGGTGGCACACATACAAATAAATGTGAGTGTATGTGATCAATATTAAATTGATAAAGTAAAAATAAAATAAGAATGTTTTATAACCAATCAAATTTTACTAAATTTGGTATGAGACAATCTTAGTGAAAAGGAACAAAAAGAAAAAGTGGGACAATCTTAGCGGGGCGTAGG